TACAGGCAGTCCCCGACTTACGCGGATCCGACTTATGTCGGATCCGCACTTACGAACGGGGCTTTCTTGCCCCGGAGCTCACAGGCAGCAATCCGCCACCTCGACCTCCGGGGCGAGAAAGCCCCGTTCGTAAGTGCAGATTCAACATAAGTCGGATCCGCGAAAGTCGGGGACTGCCTGTATATTCTCACAATAGGGGTGGGGAGCTGCTCCAGCTCCTTCCCTCCACCCCGCTTAATCAGAACCTGTAAGCATCACCCTTACGGGTGATGATTACTGGTTAACCTTTCGCATCCCTATCTGAAACTCAAACCTATGACTTGAGTGTCATGCAGGAGTAATGATCTCCATTCAAGCAAAATTAAATGAATTTTTATTTTGTCATTTTGTTAACATTTGATCGGTTTGCAAAGATAAACTATTATAAATCATTTTTTCCTCTCTCAAATTTAACTTCTTTGTCCCAAAGAGAACTGTTTCACAGATAAGAAATATGTAAAAATTGAAATATTATTTTCATTTCTGTTTCAAGATAAGAGATGTGCAGTAGGTCAACCTTTCTAGTAAGTAAATAAAATTGTAGGAAAACTATCAGATAAAATTAAACCTTTATGTTTAAATTGTTAATTTTTTGCAGTCTGACGACCATTTCAGTTAGAAGTAACAAATCTGAATACTTATGCAACAGCTATCTAAGTATGATCATTTTATCTGATTAATGAACTTTATTAGCAAAAAGGTACAGCTAAGAAAAACTCATATGTATTTGGTATGTTGGGGATTATAAAGTTTAAGCAATCTCAGACCAAATTACAGGTATGTACACCAACCAAAAGAAATAAAAATGGTAAGCTGTTTTATATTTATTTGCCCTCCATCAACAACTATGGAGAGTCACAAGTTGCAGATTTTTGTCTCTGTACTATAAACAGAAAGGATACTACATTTTAGTGACCTCTATACGCTGTACTGATCAAAAGGAAACAGACTAAAGAACAGAGAAGCTGATAAAAAGTAAGATTTTTTAGATTGTTCAACTGAATGGGGACACTATCCTGCCATCAAAAATAAATTAAATATGAGGTGACTTATACTACCAAACTCTGCTGACTCCTCTAGCACTGGTAAAACCCTCACCTTCAAATGTCCAATCTACTTGTGCTCTTACACCTGCCATTGGGAACAAATATGATTTAGCAGTTAGGTTAAGTACACGTCAGAATTTTTTCCAGAGCATGACCATGGACAACAGACTTTACCTATTTCAATTTCCTTATCTATAAAAAGGAGATAGTGCCTTACAGCCTGGCCCCCAGGAGAGTTAAGAGGCTACACTTGTATTCAAGGATCTCCAAAAAACACTCAACACTTTATTCAAAAGTATCATTTTTATTGCACCAAATTGATAATCCCAATCTCAAACACATCTTCCATATTCTCACTCAATCCATCAGTCACTTGACTTTTTCCCATTAAGACCAATCATTTCTCACCTTTGATTCAGGAAAGAGCCTAACTTTTCCTCCTCCTCTCTACAGCTGATGAGATTCCTGGATTGCAAGAAGTGTTACAGCCCTGTACATCAAAGGACAGATATTTTTTAAAACCAGGAAATTTTACCTTTGTTGTGTTTTATCTGAGCTGAATTCAAAGACAGCTTTTAAATCACTTAACTATCTTCATTTTGGTTTGTTCCTCACAGCTTTATACACTGAACCCTACTGTACATTTCAAACTTAGGGCCAGGTAGCATATGGTGCACATAGGTGTGAAAAATCCACACCCCTGAGCAGCTATGCAGACCATACCCCATTGTAGATGAAGCTAGGTCAACAGATGAGTGTGTCCATCAACGCAGTTACATCAGAGAGGTTGTGTTCCTGCAATAACAGAAAAATCCCTTTTGTCACTGAAGTCTGAGTCTGCACTATAGGGTTAGACCAGCATAGGTACAGCACCCCAGATATAGTCCCCTTATTGGTGAAATGGCTTTAGGAACCAAGCAGGCACCAAGAAATCTTTAGTGACCACAATGAGCAGCTGGAGCACACAACAGGGAAAGTGATGCAAATTAATCCAAAAGAATAGCACAGAACTCACAACGTCCTTGTCTACACTGAAAAAAACTTAAAAAAATAATGGACCTGTAACACCTTAGCACAAGTAGGTTATGCCCACGAAAGCTCATGATACTATTTATACATGTTTGTTAATCTCTCAGGTACTAAATCACCATTGTTTCTTTAGTTACAGACTAATATGGCTACACCTCTGAGACTTGTGTACACTGAGGCTATGTTTTCACTGTGAGTTCTTCTGGCAGAAAATATACTAATGAGGGACTCATTAGCATGAGTCATGATCTCTATAGCATATTATCTGCAATTTTTTTTTTTTGCAGAAGGGGTTTTTGTGTAAAAAGTAGTAATGTGGACTGGGTTTTTTTGCGCAGAAAGCCCCCGGTCTCCAGGACAGGCATAATGATCTTCTGCAAAATGGGATTTTTGCGCGCGCACACACACACACGCGCACACACACACACACACAGTCCACACTACTACTTTTTGCGCAAAAACCACATTTCAGTTTCTCAGGGTATGTCTTCACTGCGAGTTCTTCCGGCAGAAAATATGCTAATGAGATTGTGACTCATGCCAAGAGTCTCTCATTAGCATATTTTCTGCCGGAAGAACTCGCAGTGAAGACATACCCTGAGAAACTGAAATGTGTTAACACACACTTCTTAAACGGCATTTTAAAAATACCACTTAGCACCTCATGTAGACAGAAACAGTTGCATTTAAAAATATGTCAACTAGCTATGGTCAATGCAAGGAAAATGAGCAACCATATTCTGGAGTTGTCTCAAAGTAAGGCACAAAAACAAAACAAAAAAATCATCACATCAACCAAAAGATCAAACTAAGGTGTATGCAGAAGTACCTCTGAGGGGTAGGTAGGTGTACAAGAAGTTTTATTATGTTAAAAGAACATCTTTGGTAACTTACTTTGTATTTTCCAGAGTCTTCTGCATTTTCTTGGTCATCTTCTCAATGGCAGCTTGTCTCTTCCCCTCTGGAAGAAGGTCTATTTTGTTCAAAACTACTACCATCTTCTGGCAGGCAATTTGCCCAATCACCAAGCACTCTGCTGACTGAGTCTGCATCCCTTTTGTCACATCTATTACAAGCATCATCAAATCAATAATCTGGGCACCTGAAAAAGAAATAAATGTCAATATCATACCTGTATAAAAAATGAGACCCTCTTTCCAAACTGTGTTTCTGTAAACACTGCCTATACTGTATAGATACATACACTCAGAAATAAAACATGGGGTGAAAAATCCAAAGCATGTTTGTGTTCAATGCTATTTGAAAATTTAAGGAATTTCAAGATACAATATAATTACAGCTACACAATGAAATCCAAGGCTGTTAGACTAAAAAGTTTACCTTTTTCACCTTACATTAAAGGTGCTTCAGCCTCACATTAAAGACTTGGGCAATATATTTGTTATAAAACTGATCTGTGCTGTGACACAAACATAAGACATCTCAATTCAGTAACACAATGTAAACAGAGATTAACATACTATAATGAGATCATATATAAACTGTTTATACTGGGTCATACACCACAGAGGGCAACAGAGTTAGACATTTCATGTTTCTGCAAAAATAAACACATTGCCAAGATTACTAAAATGAGACATAACACGGGCGAATTTTCAGGAACTTAACATACTTTATTTACTGCAGGAGTATAATACTGAGTCTACATTAGATCTTTTCACAATTACTAACATGATTATTTCTCTGTAGAAAGCCTCTTTTGGTTGTAATCAATGTTTCATTATTTGTTTGAAGACAAACCAAAAAGAGATTAAACTCTCTTTGCAGATCTATATTGACATTTTTGAGGGTGCTACTACATAAAGATGAAAGTGAAAGTCACATAGGTCCTAGGCTACATAAGAATCACAGTAAAAACAAAGTGGTAGAATGAAGTATAATTTAAACAGAACAAAAGCACTAAGGAAAAATGTTTCCATTTGCTTGCACACTTTTAGGATATTGAAAGTTCAGAAATACTGACAGTATTCATGTAAAAATGCAGAAAAAATATTTGCCACCTTCCCCTCATGAAATCTTGAAAGATTTGAAATAAAAATACTGGGTTGGGGCATTTAAACAGTGATATCAAGGGAGCTGCATGTATATTCAGCACCTCTGAAAATAAAGCCAATTTTATATAGGTATTTAAATATGGATCACAACTGTGACAAACTTCAGAGGAGTAGCCAAGTTAGTATGGAAACACTTAAAATGGAAAAACTTAAAAAAGAATGAATAATGTTGCAGCACCTTAGAGACTAACGGTACATCTACATTGCATGGCTATTTCGGGATACGGGAGGTAACCCCGTGGCTACACAAGCTGCTCGTCATTTTGAAATATTTTTTGAAATAACGGGAGTGCTACTTCAGCATCCTGGTGAATCTCATTGCACGATGGTGAAGGGATGGCTCAAAATAGTATGTTATTTCAAAATTTGTCAGTGTGTGGACACGCCAAATTTCAAAATAAGCTATTTCAAAATAGATTCAAAATAAGATATGCAATTTGCATATCACAAATTGTGTATCTATTTCGAGTTCAGGGTGCCGGGTAGACACACCCCAACACGTTTTGTTAGTCTCTAAAGGTGCTGTAAGATTAACTGACAGATCAACTGGGAACCTTCAAATGACTTAATTTTCCCTTTTCAAGATCTCTTTTAGAGCTTTCTGGAGCAACATTCTGGGGAGCATCAGCCAAAAACTGAAAGAGAATAATTGCAACCACATTACTACTAAGGTGAAGAAATAAACCCTGCAGAGATAAGTATCTTGTTCATTCCCTCTTCTACATGCTGACAATAGTAGTTTTGTGTTTGGATGATGAGAAGCAAAAAAATCTGAGGAGTCAAAGCTGAATGAGTTACATGATTTTACAAAGATTATCATTACTCAGTTTTCAATGCTCAATGGTAAGATTGGCTAATAGTTTTGGTCTGTTGTACAGGAATAGCAGCATTATTAAGGATACCTCTGAACAAGAGGGAAATTTAGGAAACATTCTGTCCTTTAATTAATGAGAGCTGACTTTCATTCTCTTCTGACCACGTCAAAAACTTGGCATAGCAGGAAGTGCTCTCTCAAGAATACTAACATTCAAACTGCCAAATGGTCATTTGAATAATTCTAAATATATTAAAAGAAGTTTTTAAAGTCACTTGATTTATATGCCCTTCTGAGGTTGAGACACTTGATTAAACACCACAGTATATTGTCATTCTGCCTTGAATTAAAGCATGTACAGTATGTGAACTTCAGATCTCTGCAACAGCTGAACAAATACAGGAAGGTTTCCCAAATCCCTACTCCTTCACCAAGAGGGATGTAATTCAGTTTTAGTCTAAAATTATCTACCATTCTCATGGCCTCATTTTCCTCTAATTTGTATTAGTAGCATTATCACAAGTTCTAAATATCACTAAGTGAAGATTCCCATTATTGACTAAATGGGTTTTCAGAGATGGCTAGAGAGCACTAGACCATACTCTGCATACATCCAGGACCCTTCTATCTCTTTCCTGCTAGTATATTGATACACATAACTGATCAGCAACCAAAGATGTGCACCAATACCACTCACATATCCGGCAGCTGTTTCAGAGTAGCATGTTGTAAATGAAGTACTAGAAAGGCATGTGCAACAGACCTTATAGCAAAGCACAATTGAAAAAGGTAAAGGCCTAAAGCTAAACTAGTAAAGAGTTGCAGTGATCTACAAAACATCTTTCAGAAATAACAAAATGTTAAAAGAAAGGGACATGACAAATACACGGTCATTATTTACAGTACCCTGGTTTCCTATTTATAGTGCTAATATTTTCCTGAAACTTGTGTTAAAAATAAGAAATTAACATAATTGTTAATTTTCCCTGCCCCCCACCACACACTTTTTTGCATAGCTTTTCCATGGAAGCCATCACATGGAAACAGACTACAGAACCTCGTTTATGTAATTCCCATGAACTCCGAATAGAAAAGCATCCTGACATTGATTTCAAAATGCGAGTGAGTGGGTGGGAATTGCATCAGCAAAAATTAACAATTATAAATTTTTTTTCAACCTATCAAATCTCTTCATCTCTCTGAATGAAGACTCCTTTAAAGCTACAGCAGGATTATCATCATAGCAGAATAGTTAGCAAAGAATCTTCTCATGCAGCATCTCAATCAATTCAAAAAGTTCACAGGGCAAGATTAACATGCATGCTATCCCTCCAAATGCATTTTCTGTTTTTGTTATTGCAGAAATTGTTCAACTCCTTTCTAATTACAGTACAAAATAGCATTAAACCTCATTTTGAGCGAACAGGAGGAGGCTATGAGGTACTAAACTCCATACTAAAATGGCTTAAGTTTAATTAGAAGAAAAGTATACAGTAAAATCGTCCTGAATGTGAACAAGTCTCGTTACTTTAAGTGGGAAAAATATTTTAAATTAGTTGATATTTGAATTAAAACACTAGTTCTATGCACATGCAACAGGGTTTGTTTTTACAACCGTAATGAAACCAGTGTTGTACTAAGATTCATTGTGCAGATATTCTTACATTGCCAATAGCTATTGATATGAATGAACCATTAACCTTAACTTTTTGGCTGATTTTACCATTATTAGCTATAATATTCAAGACATATAACTATTAAAGTAATGATGTTTGCAATGTATGTTTTAGCTCATCCTCTTCTAATGAATTACTATGACTTGGTAAATATGAGTCTACTCTAGAGAGACACTTGAGGCCAAATTTTTCATCTCAGTTTCTCCAGATTTAACCCAGGTAACAGATCAGAATCTTGCCATTGAGAATAGTAGCTAATTTCACACCATATGTACTACAATATCTAAGCTCATTGACTAAAGATAATAATTACATTGTAGCCTTCACATGTAGTGCCTATACAAATGTTAGTTTATGTAGCAGCTTTAATGACATTTTATTAGTTTCTTTCAATAACTTTATTATAAGCAAACATTATATGTGCCATTCATTGTAATTTTTATGCATTTCAACTCCAGATTTTTTTTTTTTTAGTATGAAGCTCTTAAAATTGAAGGCTCACTAAGGCTTCTGCTGAACTTTATTTAAGAAACCAAAAGCAGCACAATAGTCAAAATATGGAATAAAAATAATTGCATCAAATATAAACCAACAACTTTCATGGCGAGAACTAAAAAAATTAAATAAGTAAATGTTGCCCAGATGACAGCTGAAGGGTGTAAACAACAAGATCCAAGAAGAATTGTTTAGGTTTTTCCCAATAGTTAAGATAAATGTGAAATTCATTAGTTCCCTGTTGCACGATCTTTATAACACAAAGGGACAAAAGGCAACTATCAGGCATCCAAAGGCCAGATCTGCATATAATATTTTTATATAAGATTTTAATCAAAGATAAATACACACAGCTTTTGTTTCCCTGTTTGTTTGTTTAGAGAATACTGTAAGTATAAACAATACTAACTTCTTTGTATCTGGCTTTATTCTAGACGTGGCTCTTTGAAACTAGAACATCTTTCCATTGCATACATGAAATAGCATCTATCACAATGCAGTCCTAATAGTGATTCCTAGACACTACAACAATACAAATAACAAATATTAAAAGAAATGAAATGACTGACAAGATCAGTCCAAATAAGTACTAGAAACAATTTAAAAGGAGTGTAAGGGAAGGATAAGAGAATAACCCAAGGAGACAACTAATATAAGGCATCAGAGAAATGGCATAATGATCCAAGACATTCCTGATAAAAATGCAATTATACACACATGGTAAAGATTTGCAAAAGTGACAAGGAGTCCTGTGGCACCTTATAGACCAACAGATTTATTGGAGCATAAGCTTTCGTGGACAAAGACCCACTCCATCAGATGCATGTGACACGCATAAGCCCACGAAAGCTTATGCTCCAATATATCTGTTGGTCTGTGAAGTGCCACAGGACTCCCTGTCGCTTTTGCAGATCCAGACTAACATGGCTAACCCTCTGATAAATGGTAAACATTTGTTAATCTTATTATACTGTAAACTTTATGGAGCAGCAACCTTATCTTCTGTATGTTTCATGCAGTGCATAGCATATCAACTACGATC